ACTACTAGATAATGATAGATAGATAGATGGATAGACAGATAGATACACAGACAGATGGACTGATAGACTATCAGATAGATAGACATACGATGAAATGAGAGACTGCTAGGAAGATAGAGAGATAGACTGATAGTTAGATGGATAGATAGACAGATGGACTGATAGACGACTAGATAGATAAATGGACTGATGCACTAGTAGATAGATAGACAGATGGACTGATAGACTACTACATAGATAGACTGATAGATATAGACAGATAGATATATATATAGACTGATAGATGGATAGACAGATACACAGATAGATGGACTGATAGACAGATATTGACTGATAGAGTATTAGAGAGATTAAACAGACTCTTAGATAGATATAGACTAATAGACTATTAGATAGATAGATTGATAGACTGATAGACGGATACATAGATACATAGATGAGTGGATTGATAGACTACTAAATAGATACACACAATAGATAGATAGATAGATAGATAGATAGATAGATAGATAGATAGATAGATAGATAGATAGATATGGAGGGGGCAGAGAAAAGGAGAGAGACGCATTTCTGTTGCACTGTTATTCAGGTGACCACACAATACACACTGGATGTGTGCACACATACACGCGCCCACACACACACCCACTGCCAAAACAACCAACCATTTTCTTTTCAGTGCAGTCTAATATTTCCTATCTTTGTTTTTAAAATACTTTACTTGTGATCTCATTTGATGTTGAATAAAGCTGAGTGTTCCCCTCCCACCCCCCATGGGAGGCTCAGACACAGACACCCAGGCTGTTCCCTGTCATGTCCTTCCATCCAGGTCCCACGATGCGCTTGGGCCAGCCCAGGTCATCATGCACTGAAACTCCAGGGCCTTGCTTCACGTTCTCTCTCCCCATCTCTGTTTTCAGTGACGATCTGTTCTCGCTGCCTTACTGCCCGGGCAAGACCTTAGTGGTGGGTGCCTCTTACGTGGCCCTGGAGTGCGCAGGCTTTCTGGCGGGCTTTGGCTTAGAAGTGACCGTGATGGTGCGTTCCATCCTTCTTCGCGGCTTTGACCAAGAGATGGCAGAGAAAGTGGGTTCCTACATGGAGAGACATGGCGTGAAGTTCTTGAGGAAATTTGTCCCCGTGAAGGTAAGTCTGAATGGCCCTTGAATCCCTTTCTGTTCTCAATCTCGCTTTGACTTTTTAATTGCACCCCTTCTCACTTTATTTCATTAAATAAATGACTCTGCACTTAAATAGTGTTGCGAATACTGAACCCACCCCCCAGAAACCCACAAAACTGGTCTCACTTGTCCTTGCTCTTACCCTGGAGATCCTAGATTTTCTGGAAGGTTCTTCCAAGGACGTCCTTAGCAGGTCCCATCTTGAATAAGCCCTGCACACCTGGTTGGTCCCCATTTCTCTCCTTTTCCCTTTACAGAAAGACCTTCTCTGCCTGCTGTTTGCAATTCCTTGCCTCCTTTACGCACTTAGTTGACTCCCACCTGCTTGGTGAAGCTGCTTGTTGGGAGACCCAGTGGTCACATCTCTGTGCTCACCTTACTGGTCTCCTGACAGCCTGTGGGGAAGGTGACATTCCTTTTGTGTGACATTGCTCTGGTTTCAAGGGCTCTCTTCCTGCCTTCTCTGGCTCCAGGGTCTGTGGTTTGGTTTGGCTTTATGTGGTACTGGGGTTGGAACCCAGGACTTGGCCCAGGCTGGGCCAGCGCTCTACCACTCAGCCACACACCCAGTCCCCTCTCAGCCTGAGAATCCCGAATCCTGATTTTCTACCCTGGCTTCCCTGCATTTTTTTTTTTTAACCTGGGTGGTCTTCTGGCTGCTCTTAGGTTTTAGTCATTTACATGCTAATGACTCAGATGGGTAGCTCCCAATCCCTGCACTCATTCCTACCAGCTGCCTGCTGGGGGTTACCACTTGGGTCCCTGCAAAGCATCTGGGGTTTAAGAAGACAAAGTTAGGGGATCTCTGCCTTTTCCTCCTAGACCCTGGGATCCTCCTGCCCATCTCAGTTCTCAGGAAGTGGCCCAGGATCAGCTCAGTCAGCCAAGGCCTGGGATCCTATCTTCATTTCCTATTCATGCTGCCTCTAATCTCACCTAGTGCATTGCACCCTCCCATGTGACAGTGTTCCTTCTGTCTCTCTGCCTGGTCCACGGAGTTCCCCCCACGCCCCCCACCCTGGTTAGCTTCCTGTCACCTCCCATGGACTCACGACACCACTGATCCCTGCCAGATTCAGCAGCTGGAGAGAGGCTCACCCGGAAAGCTCAAAGTGTGGGCTAAATCCACTGAAGGACCGGAAACCATGGAGGAGGTGTACAACACCGTGAGTACTTGTTTTACGAGCAGTGACTGGTTGAATATGTTCCTCAGTCACCAGAGACGAACCACGGGAAGATGGCACTGTGATTCATGTTTTTTAATTCTTCCTAAGAGTGGAGCAGGGCTGGGGATAGAGCTCAGTTGGGAGAGTGCTTACCTCGCATGCGCAAGGCCCTGGGTTCAGTCCCCAGCACCACAGAATGAATAAATAAAGGGATTGTGTCCACCTACAACTAGAAAAGATTTTTTTTTTTAAAATGAGTGGAATAAATATGGACCATAGTGGGGACTACTTACATTTGAGTTTTCAATGACACATGGACAGTATCCGTCATTGTAACAGCACAGAACAAACTCTTTTTTAAAAGATTTTTATTTGTGTATTTATATTTTGTAGTTGCCGATGGACAGCACGCCTTTATTTTATTTGTTTATTTTGATGCAGGGCTGAGGATCGAACCCAGTGCCTCACAAATGCTAGGTAGGCACTCTGCCGCTGAGCTCCAGCCCCAACCCCAGAACAAAACTCTTGAAGCTCTGTACCCAAATGTTCTTGTTGCTAACTCCTGGGGAATTAGATATTGTATATATATATATCCTCATTTTCAAATTTTGGCAGTAGACACTGAATGTATTCTATTATTAAAATAATAAAAAAAAATTTTCTTGGAGCTGTGGCTCAGTGGTAGAGCGCTCGCCTAGCACGTGCAAGGTACTGGGTTCGACCCTCAGCTCCACATAAAAATAAACAAATAAAATAAAGATATTGTGTCCAGCTACAAGTAAAAAAAATTAAGAAAATTTTTTTTTCTTAGGAATAAACAATACAAAATTCTGAAACACTTTGTCTTGCCTATGCAAGATTTTAGATGCTAGTAATTCTTTCAGCTGTACATTTATATTTTATGAGCTCTTTTTTAGCTTAAAAAAGTAAACATAACATAGAAAGGATCAAAAAATACATTAAAAATGAAAAAATTGAGGCTTTGATTAGGATTACGTTGGCTGTATTAGAATACTCCTTTGGGAGGATTCAGTCTAACAATCACTCATGGACAAGGCATATCGGTCATAGATCGTCTTTAATGACTCCCAACAAAGTTAATAAATTTCTATTAAATTGATTTTATTATTTTATTAACTGTATTTGATTTCTATTAAATTCAATTATTGCTCCTTTGTTATTTTAAACTAGTTCCAGGGAGATCAAGAGACCATCTGTTAGATTTATTCCTACTTACATATTTATGTGTAGCTGCAAATGGTATTTTTTAAGATCGTCATTTATTGCTGGTATGGAGAAATGGTGATTTTTGTGTTGAGAGTTCATATTCAGTCATCTTGCTAAACTCTCACTTAATAATTCATCCTTAGGTTATTTTAGGTTTCCTGTGTGCGAGTTCATGTTACCTGTGAATAAGAGCATATTTAAGTTCCTGTTATCTGCTTTCTACTCTAATTCTTGTCCTCCTGCCTAAGCGCTTGAGCGAGGACCCCCCAGTAGGCCTTTATGGGGATCAGCGACATTCTTGCCTTGTTCTCTGTATTCCGTGTTTCATTACCACAGACGTGATGTTTTCTGTAGGCTTTGAGTAGAGCATCCAGACTTGGTGGACTCACCCATTCAGAGACTGGCTGAACAGATTCCTGGGAGATGCTGGGAACTTGGGGGCTGCCCTTTGGGACTCTCTTGTTCCTGACCACTCTCTCTCTGCTTCTTAGCTGCCAAGAGTGGGGGACCTTGGATCTGCCACAGCTCTCAAATGTGCTGTGCCTCACCCCAGGTTTTAGCAACGGAGCTGCCGACCACAGACTGAGACTCTGAACTGTGAGCCAAAGAACATCTTTCTTCCTCAAAGTTGCTCTTCTAGGTATTTTGTCAAGTGATGCGCAGCTGACTCAAATACCTTAAAATTAGGAATGGACGTGCAGTTGTAATAATGGCTGTCTTACGGCTGTTGATGGTCTTTTGAGTCTTTAATCTCCGTGGCCTTGATGGTCTAAAGGCTAGTCAGCTTCACATTCCTGGGATCAACCCCTCTTGGTTAGGCTCGATTGGGTTATTTCCATTTTTTTGCATTTGTATTAAAGAATCATATTGGCGTATCATTTTCCTTTCACTATTAAACTTTTTTATAGTTCGGTGTCAAGGTTATCAGAGCCCATAAAAGGAGTCGAAGTATGTTTCTTTCTTTCCTGTTTCTGGCAACCTCCATGTGATATTAGAATGGGTTTTTATGTTTGATGGAGTTCTCTGATGGTGCCATATGAGTCTAGAATTTTCTAGGAGACATATCTCAACACGGATTCTGTTTCTTGAATGATCAAAGAATTTTTTTAAAATGTTCCATTTTCCTTTCTTGAGTTACTTTCAATATGTCATATTTTTTCTAGGAATTAGTCCCTTTCATCTAAGTTTCCAAATATGTCAGTATAAAGTTGTTCACGATATCTGATTTTTAAAAGCTATTGATGTTTGAAGTGGGGTGTAATTTCCATGTAAAAATGCACACATCTTAATTGGGCGTGGTGGCGCATGCCCATAATCCCAGCAGCTTGGGAGGCTGAGGCAGGAGGATCGCAAGGTGGAGGCCAGCCTCAGCCACTTAGCAAGGCCCTAAGCAACTCAGTGAGACCCTGTCTCTAAATAAAATATCAAAAAGGGACTGGGGATGGGGCTCAGGGATTAAGCACCCCTGGGTTCAATCCCCAGTATCAAAAGAACAAAAAATAAAAAAAACCTTTTTGTGGCCATATAATAATTTCTCTTGGATAAATATCTAGGAATGGCATGGCTTGATCATAGGCTATTTCCATATTTAACTTTATGAATTTTTAAAATTTTTTTCAGTGCAGGGACGAATCCAGGGCTTATGTTACAATGGCAGTACTCAGCACTTCCAACCAGAGAGTATCATTCTGTATTTGTATCAGCCACGTGCAGGGCCTGGGGATTTGAGATGCTTACCAATCTCTGATGTCGTCCGGCTTTCATTTTAGCCACTCTGGTGGATGAGTGGTGGAATCCTGCTGTTTTTTTCAAAAAAAATTTTTATTAGTGGTTGATGGACCTCTATTTTATTTATTTCTATGTGGTGCTGAGAATCAGACCCAGTGCCTCACACATGCTAGGCAGGCGCTGGACCACTGAGCCCCAGCCCTTGCGGTGGCTTTAATCTGCATCTTTGTGATAACTAACCATGTGCAGCGGTTTTTCATGTTGGACATTCATATATCTTCCACTCAAGTCTTTGGCCATTTGTGTTGGGTGATTGGGATTCTTGTTCTTGTATCTGTCGAGCCCTGTAAAGATCTAGAGTATATATTCCTTCTTCAGATACATGTAGTAGGAATTTTTTCTTCTCATCTGTGACTTGCCTATTTATTTTTAATAGGAACTTTTGATGAGCCGTGGTTTTAAAATTTTTATGAAACCCAGTTTCTCTCTTTTTTCTTTTACAGTTACTGCTTCTGCAGTTCTGAGAAATCTTCGCTTCCCCCAAAGGTCATGAGTCTCTCCTTGTGCTTTTGCTTCTGAAGCTTTAGAGTTTTATCTTCTAAAATATAAAACCGCAGCCCTCCTTGAACTAATTTTTAGGTATGGCGTGATGGAAGAATTGAGCTGCTTTTTCCTTCATATCTGGTACCATTTGTCCAAAACTCTTCCCTTTCTCTCTTGAATTATCTGGGTGCCTCGGTTGAAGTCATTTGACCATTCAACTGGGGGATCTCTCTGCACTCTTTACTCTGACCCCAGACCATGTGTCCTTGTGATCCTTTCTCTGGGACGGCATGGGGCAGATCACCGATCCTTTACAGTATCTTTCAGATCAGGTGGAGAAAGAATTCCAATTTTGCTTATGGCCTTTACATTTCCCTATGCTTTGAAAACAGATGTTCCCTAACTTCGAAAATAGTCTGCTTGCATTTTCATTGAGGTTGTGTTTATTTTATAGATCAGGTTGGAAGCACTGACTTTGCTTTGTTCTGTGGGTGCTGGGGATGGGACCCAGGGCCTCATGCAGGCTGAGCATGTGGATGAAATGCCATCTTAATAGTGTCTGTTTTCCAGTGCACACACCTCACGTATCTTTCCATGTGTTTCTCTTCATGATGCTTCATCATTGTGTGCTAGAGCGCTTTCACATATTTTGCAAAACTTCTTCCAAAATTTCATGATTTTTAAACTAGTGTAAATGGTATTTTTAAAATTTTCATTTTCAATGGGGACTTACTGACCTTGTAGGATGCATGTCTACAAGTAAAAACCGTTTGTATCTTCCTTTCCAATCTGCAAGGTTTTTGCCTGTTTCTTTCCTCCTTACAGGGGCTAAGAACCTCTAGGCCAAAGTTAACTAGGAGTTATGAGAATTTCCTGTGTGCTTCCCAATCTTAGGAGTGAAGCATTCAGTCTTTCGTCATTGCTAGGAGGTGACTTGTAAGTTTTTTTTACACGTGCCTTTCATATTCAATTGAGGAACTGTCTAAAAATTCTTTTTTTTTTCCTAAAAATTCTTCACGTGCTAAGAATTTTGTTTGGATGATGGAGTGTTGAATTTCGTCAAATGATTTTCCTGCAGCTATTAAGATGATCATTGTTTGCTTCTTGATCCGGTTAAGAGGATGAATCATACTGATAGATTTTATATGTCAAATTTGCAGTTTGAGGACAGATTCCCCTTGGTCAGGAGAGCCTTTTTCTATGTTTCTGTATTCCATTTGCTAACATTTTGTGAAGGATTTTATATCTATGTTCATGAAGAGTAGGGACTTGGATTTTCTTTTCTTTTAATGTCCTTATCTGTTTTGGTTTTGATTTTGCAGTCAGCGGGTAGAACCCAGGGCTGTACCCCCTGAATTGTGTCCCTGGCACTTTTTATCTTTTATTTAGAGTGAGGGTCTCACTGAGTTGTCCAGACTGACCTCCATCATGGTGAAATATTGTATCATTTCTTACTTAAGCATTCTGAAGACTCGAAGCACAGATGCCACCTGGGTCTGGAGTTAATTTTTTGGGCCTTTATAAATTGTAAATTCATTGTTTTATATTAGCTTGCTAGGTCAATGAGTGGCTTGGATCTCAAATGTCCCAGAAAACCTCATGTGTTAAAGGCTTGGTTCCTAGCTTGGCGCTATTAGAGGGTGGTAGAACCTTGAGGTGGTGGAGCCTCGTGGAAGGAAGTTAGGTCACTATGAACATGCCCTTAGAGGGACACTTCCTGTTTCTCTTTCTGCTTCCTGACCACCATGAGTTAAACAGGCTTCCTTCACGATGTTGTCCCTCAATGATGGATTGACCCAGAGGGACAGGGCCGAGTGATCATGAAATGAAACCTCTAAAACTGCCAGCCAAAATAAACCTTTCCTCCTACTAAGTCATCTATCCCGGGTATTTGTCAAGTAATGGAAAGCACAGGCCATAGTACCCAAAAGCTACAAACTGGCGTAATCAACATATATTTATTTTATCCCAACTCCAGAGATGGGAAGTTCAAGGTCAAGTAGTCATGAGATGTATTTTCTCTTGTGTTTCTCCTTGGCTTGCAGATGGCTGCCTTCTTACTGTGTCCTCTCCTCCATTTGAGGGTTTTCTGTATCCTAATCTCCTCTTCCTCTAAGGGCATTACTCACACTGCATTAAGATTGTGTTAGTCAGCTTTCCGTTACTGTAACAGGATTCCTGAGATAATTCAACTTAAAAGGAACAAAAGGTTCTTTTGGCTTAGTGTTTGGGAAGTTTCACTACATGGTCTCTCCACCACCTCTCAGTGGGGCCAGAGGCTGGGGACCAAACCTTTAACACAAGGGCCTTTGGGAGACCCTGGTCCAAACCATAGTAAGGACAAACCTGTGTGACCTTATTTTACCTTAATTGGTACTTTAGAGGCCCTATCTCCCAATACCACCACAATCTAAGGTACTTGGATAAGGCTTCAGCATGTAGACACAGTTCAGCTCATGACCTGGGCTCATCAGACTTCTGTGTGTAAGATCAACAGGTTGTACTTTCAAGAACTCTTTCACCTAAGCCAACACTAGACTGACTGGCAGAGATGGCTCATCATGGGGCCTCCCCAGAGACGGGTAAGCACTGTGAGGGCAGTGGACGACCTAAGACAGGGGCTACTTGATTCCCATTGACATGCAAAAAAACAAAAAAGGGGGACTTGCTGGTAGCAGGCCTGCCCTGGCCCCTGGGGACTCAACCCCCAGTCTTTTGTTCTGCATGTCAATGTGGCCAGCTCACAAGGCCCTGACGCAAGCTTGCGGTTTCCTGTTTATCTGCCTCGAGCATATGTGTCTCTCGGGAACATCTTGACCTGTTCGGAGCCTCCTGATAGGGGACGGTGGCGGTAACCCAAGGACGGCAGTTATTACTCTTCCCTCCTCGCTTTTGAGTGATTTCCCGCAGCTGTTACAAAAGATATATAAGGGGAACAAATTTGGCAATAAAGCGCACACGCGCTTCCTCCTGGATGAAGAACCTTGGTGTCCTGTGTGTTTCTTAACCCCACCGTCCCTCACCAGGCTCGGCTCCTGTGGCCGGACGCGGCACATCATATTTCATTATTGTCCTTTTCATGTCTGAAGAACTTTTAGCAATGTGCCCGTTATGACAATTTTTTTTCCTTCTTCTTCTAAATAAGGTCCTGCTAGCCATTGGCCGTGACTCCTGTACAAGGAAATTAGGCTTGGAGAAGATTGGTGTCAAAATCAATGAGAAGTAAGTACACGGGGTCGCGGCCCTGTTACCACACAAAGCAAAGCTGGCTGTAGGTCACCTCTTAGCATTGCTAAGATACGAATTTTGGGTGGGGGTGGTACTGGGGATTGAACTCAGGGGCACTCGACCCCTGAGCCCCGTCCCCAGCCCTATTCTGTATTTTATTTAGAGACAGGGTCTTGCTAAGTTGCTTAACGCCTCCCTTTTGCTGAGGCTGGCTTTGAACTCATGTTCCTCCTGCCTCAGCCTGCCAAGATATAAACTTTTAACGTTTTAAATTTATCTCACAATATGTACCACGGCTGCTCTGTATTGATTTCTACATCAATCAGGTACTCTCTCTCTTTTTTTTTTTTTTTTAAAGATGGACCCAATATCTTGTTTACTTATTTTTGTGTGGTTCTGAGGCTTGGACGCAGGGCCTGTCAAGTGTGAAGCAAGCACTCTGCCACTGAGCCCCAGCCCCAGCCCAACCAGTTACTCAGATCGCTGTCTTAAGAGTTCAGGCACTCAGCAACAATTTAAAAATAAATGGAGACGTTCACCTAAAATCGTGATTTTGAGTGGATTTTTATGTTCTTGATCAGGGAAGGAGAAGAACTGCAGAGCTCTGAGTCTGCCTGTGGGGGACGTCTGGAGACAGCCACAGTGTCTGAGCTGAGCGGTGCATGGCTTGACCAGAGACATTCTTCTTAGGATTTGAAATCCCTAATCTTATAGATTATTGATGACCCGAGGTGCTTGGATCTTAGCTGGAAGACTTTCCTCTGTGTGTTTTTGGAATATTCTTTTTCAGCCCGTAACATAGTCGGTCACTATGTATATTTTTTCCTTTCCAAACACTGCTAGGAATGGCAAGATCCCAGTGAATGATACGGAACAGACCAACGTGCCCCACGTCTATGCCATCGGCGACGTTTTGGAGGGCAAACCAGAGCTGACTCCTGTGGCCATCCAGGCAGGCAAGCTGCTAGCTCGCAGGCTGTTTGGGGCCTCGTCAGAAAAAGTAAGTTTCCTGCAATCCCAGCGCCTTGGGAGGCTTGAGGCTAAAGGATCACCACCCGTTCAAGGCCAGTCTTAGTAACTCGGTGAGACCCTAAACAACTTGTGGAGACCCTGTCTCCACTAAGTAAAAAGGGCTAAAGATGTAGCCCAGGGGCAAAATGGCCCAGGATTAAACCCTAGTTCCCAAAAGAAGAAGGTAAGCTTCTTCCTGACGTCAGTTTCTTATTATCATCCTCTGTGTGTGTGTGTGT